ATCAAGATTCAACATTAGGGGTTTTTCCCAGGGCACTGACGTGAATACAATTACAGTGGTTCTCGGGTCATGCTAAACTCAATGTCAAACTTTCAGTAAAAGAGGATAAGAATATAAAACTCTGCAAATTGATTTGTCAACTTGCTATACTGAGTATTTGCATAACAGCAAGTAGAAGGCAACATTTACATTTTGAAAAGAATCCTGAAGAGAAAGCAGTATCACAGGCAAAGTACACTAAAAATACATTCTTAAAATTACAACAACTCAAAATCTCTCATTAGCCATATTTCATATAAGGTCATGCCACTAATCCTTTACAAAGTTAAACTTTGTAAGAGAGATCTAGAACTAAAATTGAAGACTTTTTGGCTCTATGAATTCATACGTCTTGAGCAATCACAGAAATCTGCCAACACTAACACTGTCAAATAAAGGGAACTCTGCATTCAAGAATAAGAAGTAGCTTTATTTCAGGGGTTTAAAGAGGCATCTGCTAGAAAAGTAACTTAAGGAGATGAACGAAATCTTCCTCTTCGGTACAACAGGATTAAGGTCTAATCTAGCACAGTCTAAATCTCTGCCTGCCAATCCTGTTTTCCTATTCAACCTTTTTCTCTCTTGCTTGATTCTGATAGTATTCTTCCTTAGTGATTCCTGAAATCATTACTAAAAATAATATTTCCTACTGGATGCTCTACTTGAATTTCCTTTAGGCACTTCAAATCCAATTTGCCCCAAACTAAACTTATCTTCTCCACCTCTACCTCCGTGCTGGAAAATCTGTTTCAAAGCAGTTCATTAGGTAAATGGGCTAAGGGTGGCCTAAGCCATAAACCTGGAACTTATCTTTGAATTCTCCTCTAGCAGTATCTTATCAATTCTATGTCTTTTGCTCTTAAAATTGCCTCCTCCTCACTGCCTCCCTGGCCCTGGCTTATAACTTAATGAAGTTACAAACTGCAAAGCAGTTAGGTGATAGAATTGAATAAATTGAGGATTGAATCCCAGTTCTGCCACTGTTAAGTTGATCTTTATCTTAAGCAACTTAGTTAACCTCTCTGGGGCTCATTTTCTCATCTGTAAAATAAAAAGAATAATCTCCTAACATCTAGTCTTAGCCATTTTACCCATTCCTCACAATGTGTCTAAGTGACTCCTATTTTCAGGATAAAATCCCAAATCCTTATAACATACAAAGTTCTTTATAACCTTTCCTCATTTCACAAGGCTTACCTCCTGCCATTCTATCAGCTGCAGTCACACCCACTCAGACGGGTCATATCCTCTCGTGTTGCGCCTTTCACAGTGTCAGTCTTTCTGCTGCAGTTCCTGCCTCCTCTTGGTCCAGCCGGTTCCCGGTGTCATACCCTTCCTCTGACCCTTCACAGCTCAGCCCGGGAAGTCTTCCCTGTGCTGCCACACAGGGACCCCAACTTTGAGTTCAAAACAGTCTCTGTGCTCTCATTCCTTCTTCTAGTTTTTTCCTTCTACTGACTTAGAAGAAAGATTTTACTAATATTTTACTTGATATTTTTACATTTATGTTGATCAAAGAAATTAGTCTGTAATATTGCTATCTTTTAATATCCAAAACAGGTTGATTTTAAGGTTATATTGGCTTCTATAATTATGTGGCAAGTATTCCTGTTTTCCATTCTCTGGAATATTTTATGTAAAACTTAGTGCTATTTTTTCCCTTAAATATTTGGCAACTAACATTTATTGAGCACGTACCACATGCCAGATTCTACACTAAGTTCATTTGCCATGTTACCTCATTTAATCCTCACAGCAACTTTCTGAGGTGTATATTCCTCTTATACCTGTTTTATAGAGAAGAAACTAGGACTAATAGAAAGTAACTTTCCCAAAGTCACAAAGCTGGTAGGCAGCAGAGCTAGGACTTGAACACTAATCTCCCCAGGTTCTTAATCACATGCTCTATTGTCTTGTAATACTTAACATATCACACTATAATTATTCATTTATTTGCCTCTCCATTAGTCAGTGGAATCTCTCTACTAAGATCCTTGAAAAATGGGCTCATATCTTCCATATTTTGTATGCTTTAAATCTAGCATGTCGACCAATTAATAGATTCTCAGTAAACAGCTGCTAAATGAATAAATGAAGACATATCATTTGATTCTCATAACAACTGGGTGAGGTAAAGTGGTTACTATCAATTCCTATGTAGAAAGCAGGTAAATGTTTATTTTAGAATGCTGCTAAAGTGTTTTTTGTCTTTAAGTTAAAACAAATAACCCCCATGCAAAGAAGGGCATACATTTCATTTCTTCAACAGTAAAAAGCAAAAAATAATTTTATATTATTTGCAAACTGTCATTGACAACAGATTTAATGTTCTGATACCATCTGTAAGACAGAGACCTTCATATTTCTTCTGGGGTCAAGAGTATAAATCCAACAAGAAAAAGATTATCCATTGAGAAAATGGCAATAAAACAAAAGCCTTAAGCAGAAAAGCTTTCAAAGAAGGTCAGCAGAACAGCTAAAGAAGAATTCCCCACTGACTATACCATGTGGTAGGCATGTCATAAGAAGATTTAAGGTAGACATAAAATACCCACAGCAGAGATGTCTTGACTTCAATTAGATGAACTAAAATTTCCATTCTGTGTTTTGCCTGATAAGTCTACAAAAATGCTTATATATGGGCACCACAGAATTCAGATTTTTTTCTTTTTGATGGAGATCAGATCATAATTATGGCAAAATGGCTAAATTATAGTATGACAAATCTGGCTTAGATATAAGAATGGACTTCCTGAGAGCCAATGTCCTTAGATTCTGAAACTATTATCCAGGGTATTATATAACTACAGTCCCAAAGAACATTAAAATAGAAAAGATCCTTGAACTATTTGTTTAAATAGTTAGAATTCTGCCTAAACGCTACCCTACGTAACTTCACGAGGATTGTTCCAAGCCTCTCTCTTCTAATCCCAATCCAAAACACACATACACATACACTTTTTTACTGCAGCAGCTTTTGCCAAGTCACTTTTAGGACAACAATATTATAACATGTCTCAAAGGGGGGAAAAAATTTGAGAATAAAAACATACCAAAGGAACTACTAAGCACCTCACAGGAAAACCATTCTCACCAGTGGACTGCCACATAAAAATTTCAGAAGGCTTTGTGGTCTTTATAGCAAAAAAAAACAAGACATTAATCTAAGGGGCTCTTACTGCTTAGGCTCCCAGAATCATATATATAAATAATAAAAAATTGAAATGCAGAAAGAATAGAAAAAAACTATTTATTTCTCCCAGTGAAAGACAATTCTTAAACATCCTGGAATGCGTGATTTAATCACTTGTTCATCATCATTGTTCTTGCAAAAAGTTTTGCTTCCGTTGGGCCCATGGCTTGGCTGGAGTTCAGGGGTGGCTAAGACGCTGTCCTGGGGGAGAAGGCAGCGCCTGGGCAGAAGCCCTAAGGGCAGGGCTAATAGGTGAAGCAGGGCCCCTAACAGACCACCAGGTCTTATTATTTTAAAGTGAAACTGATGTTCACGAGAGAAATTAAGTCTATAAATGTTGCTCTCTTATAAAGTTCTTGTCAGGTTGGTACTAAGATTATGTTGGCCTCTACAATTATTTGGGAAATATTCACTATTTTCCATCCTCTAGAATAGCTTATATAAATTCCGGTGTTATTTTTTCCCTTAAATATTTGGGATCCCCTAATGCAGACATCTGAGCCTGGATCTAAACTTGAATTTTTCTTTTTGGTAAGATTTTTTTCAAAAAGTGATTTAATTTGTTTACATTCCATAAATGATTTTTTTGGTGGGGTTAGTCAGATTTCTATTTCTTCTTGCATTCATTTTGTTCTTTTTAAGAGTTTGTCTATTTCATCAAAGTGTTCAAATTTTCTAATGTCTTCTTATCAACATTTAATGTTTCTAGGCTCTGTAGTAATGGCTTCTTTCTTATTCCTAATATTGGTAAATGATGCCTTCTTTCAGGTAACAGTTTTAATACATCCGTTCCAATTTAATGTCTTTTATTTATTTCTCTTGCCTAACTGCTCAGGCTAGGACTTCCTATACTATGTTGAATAGAAGTGGCAAGAATAGGCATTCTTGTCTTGTTTCTAATCCTAAAGGAAAAGCTTTCAGCTTTTCACCATGGAGTATGATGTCAGCTATGGACTTGTCACATATGGCCTTTATTATGTCAAGGTAAATGTCCTCTATATTCGCTTTGTTGAGAGCTTTTAGCATGAATGAATGTTGAATTTTGCCAAGTGCTTTCTCTCCATCTATTGAGACAATCACATGATCTTAATCATTCATTATGTTAATCTGGTGTATCACATTGATTGATCTGTGGATCTGAACCACCCTTGCAATTGCAGAATAAATTCCACTTGATCCTGGTATGCAGTAGTTTCTTAGAAAAATGAACATGCTCTTACCATATGATCTAGCAAACGTACTCATTATTTACCCGAAGGAGCTGAAAATTTATGCCCACACAAAACCTACACATGGGTGTTTAAAGCAGCTTTATTATAACTGCCAAATCTTGGGGAAAAACCAAGATATCCTTCAGGAAGTGAATGGACAAATAAACTGTAGTACATCCAGGTGTTAGAGTATTATTTGTCCATATGTAAAATAGGGTTACGATGTGTCAGTGTAGGTTCATGAGTTGTAACAAATTCACCACTATGGTACAGGATATTGACAGTGGAGGAAGTAGTCCATGTGTACGGGTAAGAAGTAAACGGGGACTTTCTGGACTTTGTTTAATTGTGCTATGAATCTAAAACTGTTCCAAAAAAATAAGTCTATTAAAAAATATAACTCTTAACCATCTTTTAACATTGCAACCCAGATCAAAAATAGTTGTTTCCACTACGGATAAGAAGGTAAAACCACTGCCTGACTCTTTCTAAAATTCAGCTTCCAAAATGATCTTAGCAGGTAATTTACAGCTCACAAAGAGGATCAAAGACCTTACTTTTCAATTTTCTTCTTATGTTCTTTTTGCCTTTGTTGTTCTTTCACTTGTTCTCTTTCAATATCCATGAAAAGTCGTCTATACCTCAGGTATTGCTTTTGACGCTAAAGAAGAGAAGTAAAAACTGTTAAGACTCTGCTCTCAGAGACTTTCCAAGAAAGGAAAATATCTTTAAACTACTAGCTCGGTATGTTAGGACACAACAAATTGCTTCCAATCTCACATATACTGATGTCCAAAAGCCATTACCACCACATACCTCTTTCTTGTCTTCCTCTTGACTTACTCCAGACTGAAGTGCCAGGGGAGTTTGAAATTCAGTGTTCAATCTTGATTGATACTCATCACCAACCTGTTAGGAAGTCCAGTCACACAAAGTGACAAAACTGCCAAAAGCTAGACCTATGAACACTTTTGATAATTTTATCTACTAATTCTTTCCTCCTGCAATCTTGAGCTCAACTAGATTTAAAAAGTTAAACATATATATATATATATATATATATAAAAGAATAAAATTTTAAGAAAGAACAAAAGGAATTAATCAAACAAAAACAAAAGACTCAGGTCAAAGACATGGATGAATTCATGACAAATCAAAATGTTCAGAAGCCTTCTAAAATAGTCACTTGAAATCATTCTATTATGACTGTGTGCTCGGGATCAAATACAGGGATATAAAATTAGATCTCTTACTATCTCATATCTATAATAATTTTCAATTTGTACACATTATTGATGGTGTGAATTTAGAGAATAAAAGCTTGAAAGAAAATATTATAGCAATCAGCTGTCATGGCAGGGAAGAAACTAGAGCTTATTTTCTCCCAAAGTACTAGGAAAGCCTGTTGATATAATTTAGTATACTTACTTTGACATTATATGGTTCAAATTATGATCTCTAACTTTTAGAAATACAAGTTTTAAATTACATTGATCTTTTTAGCGTAAAAGTTATTTATCAAAAAGAAGTTATCTGTTAGCAAAGTTGCAAGATAGAAGATCAGTATGCAAAAATCAATTACATTTTTATGTACTTGCAATAAACAATTTGAAAATGGAATTAAGGGTAAAATCCATATAATACACCATCAAAACACACCTTAGGGATAAATTTAATAAAAGAAATATAAATTATATACACTGAAACCTACAAAAACATGTTAAAAGAAATAAAAGATCTAACTGAGTGAAAAGACATCTCCTGTTCATGAATCAGAAGATTTAACACTGTTAAGATGGCAAATGAATCAACAGATTTAATACCGTCTGCATCAACATTTAAGTTGATGGGACTTCCCCGGCAGTCCAATTGTTAATATTTCACCTTCTAGACTGCCCTGCTGGTCCAGTGGTTAAGACTCCACCTGCCAAAGCAGGGGACATGAGTCTGACCCTTGGTCTAGGAATATTCCACATGCCACAGGCAACTAAGTCCACGCCCCACAACTACTCAGCCCACGCTCTAGAGCCTGTGTGCCACAACTACTGAAGCCTACACACCCAGAGCTTGGGCTCTGCAACAGGAGAAGCCATGGCAATGAAAAGCCTGTACACCACAACTAGACAAAGCCTGCCTGCAGCACTGAAGACTCACCTTCCAATGCAGGAGATGGGGGTTCGATCCCTGTTCCGGGAACTAAGATCTCACAGGCCTTGCAGCACAAAAACCAAAGCATAAGACAGAAGCAATATTGGAAAGGGAAAAAAAAAAAAAAACCTCAAAAAAGACTTCAAAAATGGTCCACAGAAAAAAAAATCTTAAAAAAAATTCAGTTTACTTCTCTGTAGAAGTTGACAAGGTAATCCTTAAATTCATATGAGGGACCCAGAATAGCTGAGACGATCTTGAAACAGAGAACAAAGGTGAGGAACTCATTCTTTTCAATTCAAAACTTATTTAAAAAAATAAGCTGCACTAATCAATGCAGTGTGGTACTAGCGTAAGGACAGACCCACAGATCAGTGGAATAGAACTGGTAGTTCTATTATAAACTCATATTTACAATCAACTGATTTTTGACAAGAGTGATGAGAACTCAGTGGGTAAGAGTCTTTTCAACAAATGATGTTGGGTCACCCTGGATACACACATGCCGAAAAGAATGAAACTGGACCCCTACCCAACACCATACATGAAGATTAATGCAAAGTGGATCACAGACCTGAATGCAAGAGATGTAAGATTTTTAGAGAAATACAAAGGAGTACTAGGTGATGGTTTCTTAGATATGACATCAAAAGCACAAGCCACAAAACAGTAAATAATATGGACTTCATCAAAATTAAAAACTTCTGTGCTGCAAAAGAAACCACTTACAAAGTGAAAAGACAACCCTTAGGATAGGAGAAAACATTTGCAAATCACAAAATAAATAAGGGTACTATGTGTAGAATATATTAAGAACTCACATAACTTAATAATCAAAAGGCAAATAATCCAATTAGAAATTGGGCAGAGGACTTTAATAGTTTTCTAAAGAAAATACACATATGGCCAATAAGCACATGAAAAGATGCTCATCATTAACATTAAGAAAATGTAAACCAAAACCACAATGAGATATTATTGCACACCCATTAAGAGAGCTATAATTAAAAAGAAAAAAGACAATAACAAGTGTTCGTGAGGACGTGGAGAAACAGAAACCTCATAATACTGCTGGTAAGAATGAACAGCACTGTACCACTTTGGAAACCAGTTTGGCAGTCCCTCCCCAAAGGTTAAGCATATGGATACCATAAGTCTCAGCAATTTCCCTCCTACTTATACACCCAAGGAAAACGGAAACACATATCACAGAAAAACATATAAACAAATGTTCACAGCAGCACTATTCACTGTTAATAGTCAAGAAGTAGAAACAATCCAAATGCCTATCAACTGATGAATGGATAAATAAAATATGCTACATGCATACAATGGAATATTATCCAACAAATACGAATGAAGCATTGCTACATGCTACAAGGTCTATGAACTTGGAAAACATTATGCTAAGTGAAAGAACTCAGTGATAAAAGGCCATTCTATGATCTCTTTTATATAAAATGTCCAGAACAGGCAAATCAAAGAGATAAAAAGTAGACTAATGGTTGCCTAGGGCTGGGGTTGGAGGTAAGGGGCAAAAGGGAATGAGCTTGCTAAAGGTATGTGACTTCTGGGCAGTGATGAAATATTCTAGGAGTGACTATGGTAAAGCTTGCACAACACTCTGAATATAGTAAAAACACTGAATTGTACATTTTCAATGGGTTACCTGTATGGTATACAAAGCAGCCAGGCTTCATTATTTGACTACTCCTTATTTGTGAATTTGCCTATTCACCAAGATGTATTTGTTTTCACAGAATTAATGCTCACAAAGCTTGTCGTCACCTCCAGACATAACAGTGTTGTGAAAAATCTGAGTCATCAGATGGACATACTGCCAGCTAAGGTCAAACACTGTGATGCTCTGCCTCCTTGTTTCAGCCTTCATACTGTAAACAAGTATCCTTTCAAATGTACATTGAGTGCAAAGCTTTTTGCATTTTTGTGCTTTTTGTGGTTGATTGTGCTATTTAAAACACCCCTCAAGCACAGTGCTCAAGTACTACCTAGTGTTTTTAGCATAAGAAGGTTGTGATGTGCCTTATGGAGAAAATACGTCTATTAAATAAGCTTCATTCAGGCATGAGCTATAGTGCCATTGGCCCTGAGTCCAATGTTAATGAATCAACAATACATATTAACAAGGTGTCTACACAGGAATTCACACAAAACAGTTAAGCAATGGTTCAGTATTGACTAAAATTCAGTTGCAGTATTTATGGCAAGCTTATAGAACATAACTATTATGAATAAAGAGAACTGACTATATACCTCAATAAAGTTTGTTTGTTACAGATAAAACCTAAAAACAATATGTAGCAAAAGGTTAATGGTGACTATCTCTGTAATTTGGGGTCTTTCTTCCTTATTATTTACTTTTTGCTGTAATAAAAATGAAACAATTTTTTCTGCTTTCATAAAATAAGAAAGGACTTCCCCAGTGGTCCAGTGGTTAAGAATCTGCCTGCCAATGCAGGAGACACAGGTTTGATACCTGGTCCAGGAAGATTCCACATGCTGTGGAGCAGCTAAGCCCGTGCGTCTCAACCACTGAAGCCCATGTCCCCAGAGCCTGTGCACCACAACAAGAGAAGCCACCACGATGAGAAGCCAGCACCCCACAGCTCCAGAGAGCCTGTGTGCAGCAACGAAGACCCAGTGCAGCCAAAGTAGAGGAAAAGACATTTTTTTAAAGTAAGAAAAACTGGACTTCCAGCACTGGCCAACGAGTAAGCCCATTCTGAGCCTCTAGCTCTCTCTCACTGATTCTAAGTAAAAATTGTAGGAAATGTGGCTCTAAGTATCTGGAGAGTATATGGGTGGGGTACCTGAAGAGGGGTGAGTTTGGAACGCTACTCAATACTCAAAAAGAATCTAAAAAAGAATGCAGATATGTATATGCATGACTGAGTCACTTTGCTGTGACACCTGAAACTAATACAACATTGTAAATCAACTATAATCCAATAAAAATTAATTTAAAAAAAAAAGAGTGAGTCAGAAAAGTGGATTCCTTAATTCTGTGTATGAAATGGCACACACCCCAGAATCACCCCTGAGCTGTGCTGCCTGGGATGGACTTAATGGAGTATAAAGAAGGCTTTGAGAACTGAACTAACTTTGGAGCTGCTGTTCACAGAAGATGAGAGAGAACTTGGAGCCTGAACTTAACCAAGTCAACTGCCTGCTAGAACAAAAAAAGGAACGTTCTTTAGAGGATTTTAACAAAAAGTCAGTCTCACATTATAATGTTCAAAACTGGACCCAGAAGAAAATCATGGAAAGTGAATCCAGAATATGGATCCAAAGAAAGACAACTCTAGGATAGGACATTCCTGGTAGTGCAGTGGTTAAGACTCCCCACTCCCAATGCAGGGGGCCTGGGTTTGATACCTGGTCAGGGAACTAAGATCTTGTGTACCACACAGTCAAAAAAAAAAAAAAAAAAAAGACAATTCTTCCTCTGAGACTAGTAGAAACAGGTAAAAATGACAAAAGAGTAAATGGTCAAGGGAGTTATTGAATTATGGCCTCTTTTTTAATGAAAATCAGAAAGTATAGGGGTGCAAAAAGAACTTTATGGAATATTTAAGATTTGGAGTTATCAGTGTGGGCCATGTGTGAGGGAACTAACAAGTGGCAACTAGGAAAAACACTAAGCAGCACTGGGGATCCAGTAAAACCCTACGTATGAATGTGTATAAACCTACACCATTAAATAGGTGTTTTGTTTTTTTTTTTACAATAAACCTGGATTATTCAGGAATCTGAAAGGTGAAAGGACTGATCTAGGAGTTTCAGGGCTGGTGTGACAGAAGGACAAGAAGAGGAGGTTCTGACTATTAAAGTGGCACCCTGAATCAAACAGTCAGGATTAGGTACCCCTCTTCTTGCTCAGTTAATGGCCTATCCATTCTCTACCACTAATTACGTTGCTTCATAATTATCGCTTATTTGCCAGTCTCTCTTCTTCAGACGGTCTGAAATTTGAGTGCTAAGTCTTACTCACAGCTATATCTTTAATATTTAAAACCTAAACAATGGCTAACATCAAACTGGTGCTCAATAAACGTTTGATTGACTGACCAATTCTTTCTAAACAAACTTAGCAAGAGGCAAGCAGGTACTAGGCACCAAGCTAAAGGCTGTCCACACTCCAATAAACAAAACAGGTGCACTCTCTCTCTTCATAAAGCTTACAGACTACTGGAAAACATGGAAGTAAGTAATTACCAACTGTCTTGTGTATAGAGAAGGAAACAGAATGCAGGGACAGAGGAAAAACACAAAAGGGGAGGAGGCCTAATCTTGGTAAGGTGATCAGAGAAGTTGAAGCTAAAACCTAAAGGATGAGAAGGGACCAGCTTCGCAAAGAAAAAAAGAGAAGCCTCTCAAAAAGGGGAAAAAAATATGCAAAGGACCGGAAGTAGAAAGGGCTTGCAGAATACAGAAATGGCGATGCAGAATAAAACACAACAGCCTTCCCTTAGGCCAACCTTAGACCCAAACCAAAAATAAAAAAGAAGCTGCAGCTTAGTCTGAAAAGCTCAGCCCAAGTCCTTCTTTCTGCCTTTCTTCCTCCTTTTCTTTCTGCTCTCTAAAAGGACCAAGGGAAAATTTCTCTTTCTCTCTTTCATACATTCTAACAATGCTGGTGGCCTGAAGGCTCTGTTTCTAAAATAACAAAAAAACACGAGTTAAAAATTATGCAGACAGTGTAAAATTCTGATGGAAATTAAAAACTAGACTTCAGCCATAGGGAAATCTGAGTAGGCCAGAGTACCGTGACATTTTCTTGGAAAACATAACCCTAACAAGTTCCAGCCTAAATGTCTTAGTGATCCTGCCTTATGCTCTACCAGGCTCCTGATGGGGATCTAGTCCTGGCTGTTGGGTGCAAGATCCTCCTGACCCCGACCCTTCAGAAACCACTTACTTCTTCCCTTCTCATAAAAGAAGAGACACTAAAAATACATCTTTTATAAGAGAATACACATGTAAAAAACACAATTTTCCCAATAGGCAACAAGTGTTTCTGACAAGACCCTAGCCTTCAGGGAGTAATCGTAGGTCAGGACAGGTTTCACACACCATGAAATAAACCAAGAACCTGCTTTTTGCTCAGCCTTACTGTTCCCAGCTCAGTAGGTACCTATGACCCTATCTAAATTCCACTGCTCACTCTCAACAGTCTGCTCTACCTGTCTTCTGCTGGAAGCCTCTCTCTGCTGCTTGGGTGCAAGATGCTGATGGCCATCCAGAAGCAAATCTTCCTGCCATCTTTCAGCTGTTCCAGCAGGTGGTTGCTGTATGGAGCATAAGCTCTGAAAGATACAAAGCGTTCACCAAATTGCATAAGTAGTGATATGATGTTGGTGAAAATACTTTAGGCTGCAGGGATAGCCCTGATGTAATCTAAACCTGTCAGAAGAATCTGATGCATTAGGGCATGAAAGCAGACACTACACTTCTTGCCACTACTATGGATCTTAACTGTATCTGCGAAGCAATCCTAAGTTTCTCTATTGGCAAAACAGGGATAGTAATAGCATCGATCTCCCAGAGTTATTTTGAGAGTTTAATGAGACAACGGATACAAAGTTCTAGAACCATTGTGGCTATGGTAAATGTTTAATGAATTTAAGCTGTTATTCATAATGATACTAATAACATTACTAATACTATTAATAAGAGATAACACTATCATCATTGCTTGCTAGCAGCGTAGCTCTGGCAAGCCCATATCAAACTCTCACTAATTGACTTTCTGCTGCTTACTCCTCACTATACTAAGGTCTACCTGCTCTCTGGTAGAGACTGGATCCTGGATGTCATGAATGACACATTCATAGTGCTCCAGAAATAGCTCCTGTCTCCATTTCTCATCTGTCACATTATGCGAGGCCTGCCCGTGGTTCCTGTGCTAAAAGAAAAGAAACCTTGAACAACTGTCCAAGAAGTAGCATCAGGCCAGGGCCCTAGCAAAAGCTTCAGTGAAGAGGCCAGAACCAGTCTCAACAGGTCAGAACAGCCACAGAACAAGAGGACATTATACGTTTGCCCGTTGTTACTGACCTTAACACTAAACCCCTGAAGCAGTTACGACTTTGCCCTGCCAATGTGGAATTCAATCCTAAGGAATCTACTATCACTTACTCCCCACTATATTCTGTTCTACTTACTCGCTTGGAAAAGCTAGGTCTTGAACACAGGGTGAGACATACCAACCACACTCCAGAAGCAATTCCTCTTCCAAGCTCCCATTTCTTGAAACATGAGGGTTGCTTAACACACTTGCTCTAATGGAACAACAAAATACAAAACTAACTGAGCAAAAGTAATAGGTTAGTAGTGCACACTTCACTGACAACCCCAAATAATGATACTAGGGGAGGATAATTTAACAAGTGTGTGCATGTGTGTATTTAATACAAAAATTCCAAACAGATATCAAAGTAGAAAAAAAAATAGTATAAGGAATCCAAAGATACCCATCACCCAATATCAGCAATTAGCAACATCATGTTTTTTCATATATCTTTTCTCCCACATTTTTCCTAGAGTATTTGAAAGCAAATCCTAGATTATTCTGGTTTTTTTTTTTCTTTTTTTGCATGGGGTAACTCTTTATTCAACAACACATTTAGAATAAGATAAGGCAACAAGAAAATATCTTTATAAAGTTGCCAACACTTTCTCAGGTAAAGCCAGGAAACAAGCTTGTGTCATTTTCCTTAAGGACACCTACTCAATGTCCCCAATAATTCCATGCACAAACACTACAAGTGGTGCAGTCTGGGGAGTTCTGAGTGGCCAACAGCTTGTTCTGTTCATCATCATAATTGGTCTGCAAACTGGGTGTCTGGCTTTGGTGTACTGCTTCAGCTGCCCAAGAGCAGAATTCCTTCAGTGTACAGAAGACTAAACGTCCAAACCCAAATTTACTGAAGGACTTGAGTTTGCCAAGAACTATTTACTGACAACAAATCAGTATTATATAAGTAAAATCTATCTCTTATTTGGCCCAAATAACAGACATATGCTTTGTCACCTGGACTTTCTTTAGATCTGACACAGTCTGAAATAACTGAAGACATCATACTCTTAGCCTAATGCCAGAAGCTTTAATTCTATGCAGCCTACACACAAGCTGGCTTGACAAGCTCTAGCCCAAATCTTAAGTAATCTCAGTTCAGTCACTCAGTCATCTCCGACTCTTTGCCACTCCATGGACTGCAGCACGCCAGGTCTCCCTGTCCATCACCAACTCCTGGAGTTTAATCAAACTCATGTCCATTGAGTCGGTGATGCCATCCAACCATCTCATCCTCTGTCATCCCCTTCTCCTTCTGCCTTCAATCTTTCCCAGCATCAGGGTCTTTTCCAGTGAGTCACTTCTTTGCATCAGGTGGCCAAAGTATTGGAGTTTCAGCTTCAGCAGCAGTCCTTCCAATGAATATTCAGGACTGACTTCCTTTAGGATGGACTGGTTGGATCTCCTTGCAGTCCAATGGACTCTCAAGAGTTTTCTCCAACACCACAGTTCAAAAGCATCAATTCTTTGGCACTCAGCTTTCTTTATAGTCCAACTCTCACATCCATACATGACTACTGGAAAAACCATAGCTTTGACGAGATGGAACTTCTTTGGTAAAGTAATATATCTGCTCTTTAATATGCTGTCTAGGTTGGTCATAACTTTTCTTCCAAGGAGCAAGCGTCTTTTAATTTCATGGCTACGGTCACCATCTGCAGTTACTTTTTTAGAAAGTAGACAGTGTTCCCACTGTCTTCTACTCTACCTGCTCTCCAGGGGGAGTGGGGTGGTCTTACATTTTAGGTTTAATACACTGATGACACCCCAGCGTCAATTCATCTTTCTTCTCGCATTAGAGATGACAGTTGCTTCAGAAATACATTTAAAAGAAACAACAAAAACAGAAAACATATCGTCTAACCGTGGCAACATGCTAACCTTAACACTCTGGGCTTCAGTGAGAACGCCAGGAAAATGGTACCACATGACGGTATTCTGATACATTTTAGTTTGAATGAACAAGGATGTTAAACTTTTAACCCAACTCTATAGATCTTAATTTTTTTCCCGAAACATTCACAGAACAGTCTGACAACTTAAAATTTAAGTAATTTAGAATCCGCTAATTCCCCTACATTATTCATGTAAGAGCAGTATACCTGTGGGAACAATGCCTCACCAAAAGTTATAGCATAATCTTAATAAATTAAAATAGTCTGATTCCACAATAAGAATACAAGTGTGATTTATCAGCCTTCTGAATGACAGAACTGCTTTGACTGATACAGTCCACTAAACAAGGGTCTGATTCTATATTTCACATTACCAGTTGTTGGAAATGTGTAAAATCCAGTTGCTTTATTTTCCATCTATCTCTTTTTTTTTTTTGCAGGGTGGGGAGGAGGGGCACACCTCAGAGCATGTGCGATCTTAGCTCCCCAATCAAGGACTGAACTGCACCCCCTGCAGAGGAAGTGCAGAGTCTTAACCACTGGAATAGTGTTGTCGCTCAGTCGTGTCCGACTCTGTGACCTCATGGACGGTAGCCCGCCAGGCTCCTCTGTCCATGGGCTTCTCCAGGCAAGAATAGCTACTTCCTCCGCCACGGGATCTTCCCAACCCAGGCATAGAACCCAGATCTCTCGCATTGCAGGCCAACTCTTTACGGTATGAGCCACAACGGAAGCCCACTAGCCGCCAGGGAAGTCCCCCATCTATATCTTTTTGATTGAGCTCTACCTGATCTCTGATGGAGGCCTGGTCCTGAAGTTTAGGAGGCAGATACTGATAACTTGCCAGAGAAAAGTCTTTTCTCTTCTCACTCATCATATCACAATATGTCTCCTTGAAGCATACCTTCTAAAAGACAAAAAAAGCATAAATTGTCAATTGTTCAATGGGAGTAACATGATAGAAATAATAGTCCAGGCTTTACTAGGAGCCTTACAGTAATTTTTTCAACTCCAGAGAATGTGAAACAATATGGAATAAAACATAAACCGTACTTCTTGAAATCTATCTAAGAACAATCTTGGAAAGCTCCAAACTAAGCCCAAACAATGCAATTCCTCATGTTCTCTCCTTTTTCTGCTCTACCTTGCCACTGATGAAGGCCTCATCTTCATGCCTGTGTAAAAGATCCTGACAGATATCCATAGGAAACACCTTTCCCCGACTCCTACCTATCAACATTGATACTGCTGGCTTCAAATCTGCTTTCCAAAAAAGAACAAATATAAAATAGCAATTGTTCAGTTAAGAAACACAAGGTAATCAATAATACTTTAGGTTGCAGTGAGAATTCAGAAGTCAACTGAGGCCATCATCTTAGAGAATAAGTTAATACACTATACTCTATGCCACTTAAGCCTAGCCACAGCCCTAAGTAATTTACTTCCTGTTGATCCCTTTCTTTTCCTCTTAGTCTAATCAATCTTTGCTAGAGGGCTGGCCTTGGGACCTGGGTTAAAAATACTGTTGGACACTTGTGGTCTACTCTTTTTTTCCCATCTTTCAGCTCTCAAAACAGATGATAGCTGTGAGAAATACTTTACCTAATGAAGAAAGTTTTTTTAAAAAGTAAATTGTCCAGACAGGGGTAATATGTTGCTGCTAAGAATTTTAACACTTAATAAGAATGCTGGACATGTGAGAAATCAATCAGGCAAGTTATTTTTTCCCCAACTATGACTCTCTAAATCAGCTGCAATAGTTCTTGCAAATCTCACTACAAGCCTTAACATGCTTATTTCTTTTTGCTGTATCTTCTTTCCACTTTATTTTACCTGATCGCTGGGTAGAAAATCCTGGTCCTGACATTTGTGTTGAATATTCTGGTCTTTGGGGAGAACACGCTGGTCTCTGGGTAAAACACACTGGTCTTTGGGTAGAAAATCCTGGTCCTGACATTTGGGTAGAACATTCTGGTCTTTGGGGAGAATGTGCTGATCTGTGGGTAGAAAAGTCTGATTTCGGAGTGGAAAATCTTGTACTTCCAAGGCAATATCCCCATCTTCTAGTCCAATAGTCTGGTGTTTCAGCATAACACTCTTAGTTTTTGTCTTAGCGGCCTGGGCTTTGGGCTCAACAGTGTGGCCTTCCAGATCGATGTGCTGGGTACTGAGCCTCGGCTCACAGCGCTGGGCTTCCCACTCAACATCGAGGACACTTGTCAAATCCCCCTGGGCTTCTGGAAGATAATCCTGGGCTTCCGGCAAAACGTCCTGATGTAACTGCTTTACTTCTTCCTCTTCCATCACATCAGATAGCGGGGTTTTGAACTGTACTTTCTAACAGTGAGCAGAAACATTGAATATAGAATGCCAAGTAGCAGTTAACACTCAGGTTTTCTGTGAGATTCCTAAAATAATCTTAAAAGGATATGGTAGTCAAACAAATTACTAAGATAAAATGCAAAATTACAGTCTTTGCTCAACTCAACAGAACCTGAATCTACAATCCCAAACCAGGCACAAGAATACCAACAGCTCAAGTCCAAATCATAATTACTTTCATTTCTATTATATCATCTCCCTTCCCTCTGCTTTACCTGAACTCTGCGGAAAGGTATATCTTTGTCTTCAGAAAAGAGATCCTCCTGGTCCCCCCAAGACAAATGCTTTTTCCCTTTCTTATCTATCATAGCAGATGAAGATTCCTCAGGTTCCTAAAGAACATACAAACAAAAATGGAAAAACAAACAAACAAATGTATCTATTACAGGTAGAAACAAGAAAGCATGTAAAAGAATCAAGTTAGAATTCTTCCTCACACTCTATATAAAAAATAACTCCAAATGGATTATAAGAGCTAAAATTATAAAATTCTTAGAAGAACACGTAGAATTAAGCAATGGTTTAATAGATACTACACCACAGCACAAGCAACAAAAGAAAAAGATAAATTAGACTACACCAAAACTAAAAATTTTGTGCTAAAAAATGATAGCATTAAGAAAGTGAAATGAATATTTACATTGATGACAATGTTGATGGAATTTCATTGTTACATTGATGGAATGTCAGTCTTGTAAATATGGTTTTGGAAACAGAAATTTTTTATTGTTTTAAAAAGATTTGTATTTTGGTAATTTTCTTTTGATGAATTGGTGGAGAGTCGTTTGAGGGCCTTTAAACTGCTTACAAAAAGGTGGGATTTTTGTATAGTGGATAAAATGAGTAATTGAAAATGTGTCCATAGAAATTAAAGGTAAGTGGGGTCTTTGTGAGTTGAGGAGTAGTTTTAATGTAGAAAGATATATTTACAAATGAGTCTAAAATTTCAAAAGAATTGGAGAAAAAAATCTATTATGATAATAAAGCAGTGACATGGTTAATTTGGAACTTTTGTTCTTGCACCAATAAAGGAAGGTACCCCTATAAAGAGGCTTCTCGCACATATACATAAAAAAAAAATGAAATAACAACCCAGAGAATGGGAGAAAATACTTGCAAATCATGCAACTTTAGGGATTTGCATTCAGAATATATAAAGAATTCTTGTTATTGTTTATTCGCTAAGTACAGTCCGACCCTTTTTGCAACCCCCTGGACTGTAGCCCCCCAGACTCCTCTGTCCATGGGATTTCCCAGGCAAGAATACTAGAGTGGGTTGCCATTTCCTTCTCCAGGGGATCTTCCCAACTCAGAGATCAAAGCTGTCTCCTGCACTGCAGGTGGATCCCTTATCGCCGAGCCACAGGGAAGCCCAAAGAATTCTTACAACTTGATAATAAAAAGACAACACAATTTAAAAATGGCACTACATTTGAACACAGATTTTTCTTCACGAGAGATAATCAAATGGGCAATAAGCACATGAAAAGATACTCACGACCACTAGTCATCAGTAAAATACAAAGTGAGAGGATAGTGAGATACCACTCCAAGCCTACTCAGGAGGCTATGAAAGGACGGGCAACAACAAGGACTGAAGAGGATGTGGACACCCGGAAGCCTCATCTGTTGCTAACGGAAGACAGCTTGACAGTTCCTCAGTATATTAGGCACAGAGTTACCATTTGACCCAGAAATTCCATAACTAGAGAAACGAATGTTCACACAAATACATGTAACTGCTTACAGCACAATAATGCATAAAAGCTAAGTGGAAACAATCCAAATGTCTATTAACTTATGATGGATATACCAAGTATAATATACTGATGTACTGATACATGCTACAAGGTGGATGAACTCTGAATACATTAAGCAAAGTAAAAGAAGTCAGTCGCAAAAGCCCCATTTTATGTTATTCCATTTATATGACACACACATTTACATGAAATGCCCAGAATAAGCAAATCTACAGAGACAGAAAGTACTTTAGTGGTTGTTTAGTACTGGGGATAGAAACAGGAAGGGACTAGGGAGTGATAGTTAGTGGGTACAGTGTTTGTTTTAGGGACAATGAGAATCTTCTGAATTAGACTGTGGTGATGATTGCACCATCCCCCTCTAGTACTCTTGCCTGTAAAATCCCACGGACAGAGAAGCCTGTCAGGTTACACTCCATGGGATCGCAAAGAGTCAGACATGACTGAGCGACTTCACATGATGGTTGCACAATCCTGTGAATATACCAAAAACTCTGAAGGGTACACTTTAAAGTGGGTGAATTGGGAGGAAGGAGCCAAGATGGCGGAGGAATAGGACGGGGAGACCACTTTCTCCCCTACAAATTCATAGAAAGAACATTTGAACGCTGAGCAAATTGCACAAAACAACTTCCGATCGCTGGCAGAGGACATCAGGCGCCCAGAAAAGCAGCCCATTGTCTTCGAAGGGAGGTAGGACAAAATATAAAAGATAAAAAGGGAGTCAAAAGAGCTACGGACGGAGACCCGTCCCGGGAAGGGAGTCTTAATAGAGGAAGTTTCCAATCACCAGGAAACCCTCGCACTGGCGGGACTGGGGGAAGTTTTCAGCAATCTAACTGCGAGGAAAAATTAAACAAGGCCCACAGATTACGTGCCTAAAAGCAACTCCCAGCAGAAAAGTACCCCAGACGCCCGCACCCGCCAGCAACAAGCGGGGGCGGGACGGAGAGGAGCGGGCGGCATTGCTTAGGGCCCGAACACACTGCCGGCGGTTCGCAAAACAAAGGGACTGAGAAAGTCCAGAGAAGAGCCGGCCCATCCCCGCTGGAGGTTGGAGGCAGGGGGTAGGGGAAAAGGGCAAACTCAGCCCCTGAGAAGCCACCCCCTCCCACACTGCAAACAGGCCCCCGGTTCCTATCTAAAGACTTCCTGAGACCCGACTGGTGGCGCGCGCTGGGGCCGCGGAGGGAAAAAGCGCGCCATACCCGGGGAGAGTGCGCCCAAGCCTCTGGCTGCCTGGGCTGCCCGCCGCGGAGGGAAAAGGCGCGCCACCTCCGGGGAGAGTGCGCCCAGGCCTCTGGCTGCCTGGGCTGCCCGCCGTGGAGGGAAAAGGCGCGCCACCTCCGGGGAGAGTGCGCCCAAGCCTCCGGCTGCCTGGGCCGCTCGCCGCGGAGGGAAAAGGCGCGCCACATCCGGGGAGAGTGCGCCCAAGCCTCTGGCTGCCTGAACCGCTCAGGCCGGGGAAGGCACAAAACGCAGGCGCAACCGAATCTGCGTTTTTGTGGAGTACCCGAAAACTGGAACCGCACTCAACGCAGGGCCCGCTCCATATAGAGCAGCCGGGAGCCTGAGCAGTGTAGACGGCAAAAGCACTGACACCCGTGAGCGGGGCAAACCCAGTGTGGCCGGAACACGGTGAGTGCTATCCACACAGAGCGGTATCTGTCTGCAGCGCCCCGCCCTCCCCGTATCAGGACTGAACTGAACTAGCGAACCTAAATAAGAGATCACCTCCGCCCGCCTGTGTCAGGGCAGAAATTAGACACCGAAGAGACGGCAAACAGAAGCCAAATAAACAAAGGGAACTGCTTTAGAAAGGACCGGTGCAACAGATTAAAATCCCTGAAGGTAACACCGACTACACCGGAAGGAGCCTACAGATATCGAGACGTGTAAGCTGGAAAGAGGAGCTATCTGAAATTGAACTGAACCTACACTGACCGCAACAACTCCAGAGAAATTCCTAGATATATATATATATTTTTTTTTAATTAAAAAAAAAAATTTTTTTTTCTATCCTTTTTTTTTTTTTTAATTTTTTCTCTTTTATTTTCTTTTAAAATTCCCTATTACTCCCCCATTACTCCTCAACTTTCATTTTCATATATTTTTACGATTTTTTTAATTAGGGAAAAAAAATTTTTTTTTCTTTTTTTTTCTTTTTCTTGTTTTTCTCTCCTATTTCCTTTTAAAGTCCTCTAATACTCCTCTATTATTCCTTAATTTTCATTTTCATTTCACTATAACCTTGCCAAAAAAAAAAAGAGAGAGAAACCCTATTTTTAAATCAAACTTCATATACATTTCTAAATTTTTTTGTGTGTTTTTGTTTTTAAATATTGTATTTCAAAGAGTCTAACCTCTACACTAGATTTTTAATCTTTGTTTTTCAGTAGTATGTGATATAAATTTTGGTCATTTAAGAATCCAATATTCAGTTCCCATTTCTATTCAGGAGTGTGGTGATTACTCTCCCACTTTTGACTCTCTGTTTTCTACCTCGGAACACCTCTATTTCCTCCTTTCCCCTTCTCTTCCCAATCCAACTCTGTGAATCTTTGTGGGTGTCTGGGCTACGGAGAACACTTTGGGAACAGATAACTGCGTAGATCTGTCTCTCTCCTCTTGAGTCCCCTTTTTCTCCTCCTGATCACCTCTATCTCCTTCCTCCCTCTCCTATTCTTCATGTAACTCTGTGAACCTCTCTGGTTGTCTCTCACGGTGGAGAATCTTTTCACCATTAACCTAGAAGTTTTATTATCAGTGCTGTATAGTTGGAGAAGTCTTGAGACTATTGGAAGAACAAAACTGAAATCCAGAGGCAGGAGACTTAAGCCCAAATCTTGAGAAAACCAGAAAACTCCTGACTACACGGAACATTAAGGAATAAGAGACCATCCAAAAGCTTCCATACCTACACCAAAACCAACCACCACCCAAGAGCCAATAAGCTCCAGTACAAGACATACCACGCAAATTCTTTAGCAACGCAGAAACATAGACCTGAGTGTCAACATATAGGCTCTCCAGAGTCACACCTAACACATAGATCCATCGCAAAACTCATTACTGGACACTCCATTGCACTCCAGAGAGAAGAAATCCAATTCCACGCACCAGAACGCTGACACAAGCTTCCCTAACCAGGAAAACTTGACAAACAAATCGTCCAACCCCACCCACTGGGTGAAACCTCCACAATAAAAAGGAACCTCAGACCACAAGAATACAGAAAGCCCACTCCAGACACAGCAATCTAAACAAGATGAAAAGGCAGAGAAATACCCAACAGCTAAAGGAACATGAAAAAAGCCCACCAAGTCAAACAAAAGAGGAGGAAATAGGGAATCTACCAGAAAAAGAATTTAGAATAATGATAATAAAAATGATCGAAAATCTTGAAAACAAAATGGAGTTACAAATAAATAGCCTGGAGATAAAGATTGAGAAGATGCAAGAAATGTTTAATAAGGACCTAGAAGAAATAAAAAAAAGTTAATTAAAAATGAATAATGCAATAAATGAGATCAAAAACACTCTGGAGGGAACCATGAGTAGAATAACAGAGA